CCCTTTTTTTTTTGATAATAACTGTGAAATATTACCTTAGACAAAAAACAAACAGATAACACCCCATTCCTTGACTTCTTTCTAGGAAGGCTATCACACATGTGAGGCCTCAAAAAAACAAATCAGTTACATATTTTGTCAATGAAAACCCCCATTTCTTAGTTCTTTTTGATGTTCTGAACATGTCAATTCTTTCTCTAAGTTCTAGTTGTATTTGTTGTATGATAGTATCCCTTTGCACAGTATGTGGTCCCATTACATCTTCCAATTTCTAGCTATCCAAGTGTGGACTAAAGCTCCCAGTTCAGCAGCTACAATAACTTTCTTCATTCTCCTTGAATGCTTGCTCTTTAGTTTGAGTTGAGATATTACAACATCATGCTGTTGTAGTGCCAACCCAAACCATCTAGTGAAGTCGTCCCTTAATGCAGTAGTCCAATCACTTTCAAGCAAACAGGTGATGAGCAGATTCCATGGTATCAGTCACATAAGCAGCAGGTATCAGTTTCTCAATGAATTCCATTCTTTAGCAGTCTTATCTTTAGCTAGAAGCCTCTTCCCTGCACTTCCAACCAGAAAATGAATCTGGGTGTAGGAATTGTCACTGCACCCCATATACACTTTGCTAGATTCCAAACAGGCCTACTTTCAAGCTAAGATAAAACTCAGTACTGAGTACTTGCCATTAGCAGCCAAGGAGTACTTACTATCAATGTACCAGTTCACCATATCACCTTTAAGTTTGTGCAAGGTTTTCCTGTACCAACTGCAATCCACCTGAAGGGGTCTGCATCCAAAAATCTACAGTATGTTCCATATTTACTCTATGCTCCCATTTAACCCAAAGCACATCTTTCTTCTCATTTAACAGCTGCACAAGTTTACACACAGAAGCAATGGTCCGTAGCTTACAATCCCTGATGTTGAGACCACTCCCCACAACCCTCATAGGTACTCCCTGCATTTCCGATCTACTGCCTTTAACACACTTTAGGGTAAGATGAATACTGAGCCCCATAAGTTGTATAGTGAAAAAAGGACTGAGTTGATAACATGTAGCCTTCTAACATATGATAAATGTCTAGCAGAGTCTGAACATATCTTCAAGCAGTGATCTTCTCCAGTAGTTGGTGACACTCCAGCTTACTCCATTTTTTTGGAGAAAATGGTAAGCCCAGGTATCTTATTGGGAAAGATCCCAGGGAAAAACCAGTCAAATCCGAAAGGCTATTATTTGTATCATCCTCAACACCAGCTATAAAAATATTTGATTTCTCCAGATTTGCCGCTAGACCAGTAGTCATAGTGAAATGCTGGATGGCCTCCTTATAGATTCATCCTTTTATTAGGTAGAGCATGCACGGAAAATTTGTATTGCATTTAGGCTTCTGGGGGATGAACTGATTATAATCTAATCCTTTTGCCTTTTCTTTTTAGCTATTTTCACTTGTGTACTACTAACTAATGTTTTGAAATGGGTCACATGATGTTTTGGACTTTATATGCAGTGGAGCAGAAGTAATTCTGCAGATGGTTATATATATCTATTTCTGCACTGCCTTTATTCTCATATTATCCAGCTTCCACAAGTTCTTTTGTGTTCTTGTTCTAACCCAGTAATTTATTGAATTTGCAGCTATGCTGTACTCTTGATTGAAAAGAAGGATGAAGAGGGACAGTCTCAAGTTCTTTCGGCTGCACTTGAGGTTTTTACCATTTAGTGATTGCTTCTGCCTTCCCCTTCCCCTTCCCCTTCCCCTTTGGAATTCTGTCTCCCCCCTCCCGTGCATTTCACTGTCTACTGAGAAACAAAATATTAATGTACTTTTGGTGGGAATATCTTTTCTACCTGAAGATTGCAGAAGAGGGAAGTGTTGAAGCTGATGCAAAATTTCGGGCGTTAGTTGCCATAGGATCACTGGTATGTTTGGTACTCTCGTAGGTCTTTTCTTGAATTCCAAGTAGCAAATATGCCTCAAAGCCTGTTATTTAATTCATAATATCTCTCATTAATAGATGCTTGAGGGTGTTGTCAAAAGAATTGCAATGGACTTTGATGTTGCAAATATTGCAAAAGCGGCAAAGGCATCTAAAGACACAAAGATTGCTGAAGTTGGAGCGGACATTGAGCTCATCACAAAGCAGAGTTGAGCTGGTTACATAGCATGGGTGGCAATTTAGGACACATTTTTTTGCCAGAGTGAAGATGCACGCGAGTAAATTATGCTATAGTTGTTTACAGCTTTGGCCAACAAGAAAGATGTGGATAGTCCCTTCATATGTTTGTTGCTGTAGGAGGGTTCCTTTATACTTGAAACAATCTCACAACTTCTCTCTGGAGACAAGATCTTTTCAGTTTTGTTATTTTTGTGGTCGACAACTGTGGTGAAACAAGTATAGCAAGGGAAAAGAAAAAAAAACATGAATGTGATGAGAGAGGGAGCTAAACTTGTAAAAGCAGTCAAAATTGGCAATGAAATCTAAAGCAGTGTGTTGAAAATTAAAGAAATACAGAAACCACTTAAGTGACAAGAATGGTATATCCTCTCGATTCCCAAACTATATAAAAAAAGAAGTTAAAACTTGCTATGCTACATGCTGTTTAAGTTCTTTAGAAAGTCAAATTTAATTTGTGCCAAAGTGGGTATGGTTGCCTATAATTGTATGACTTTATAAAGGATTCTAAAATTAGGCAGGAGTTCACGTAAAAAGCCTCAACCTAATTTAATTAAGAAAGCCATTAGGATTTCGACTGTAGTTACTTTTAGGTAAGTGAGAAATAACAGATGTTTACTCTTCATATTTTGTATTTAAGAATATTGGATAAAAGAATTTGTTTTATAAAAAATGATTTTGGATGGTATAGGCTGTTTTTCCCCCTTTCTGTTAAAGCATCAAAAAGCTGGAAATTGAGCATCTTTTTTTTGTTGTCTCTTCCGATGTTTTGCTAGAAAAGGAACTTTTTTGTAACGCATATAAAGCCATTCCTTATATTATTGGGTGTACTAATGTTACTAGGCCGAACCAATCATGTGCTACTTTTATGTACTATGATGCATAATATTAAATATATATCACCTTTTAACCCAAAAAAATAAAAATTAGGCCACCTTACCACAGCTCTCTACGTGGCAATATTGTACAATTATCGAATTGTTATAATTCACTAATAGACAGTTCGTAATTGACTGTTTCTCTTTAATTTATTTATTGACAATTTAGATCGCGTACAATTATTATAATTCACTAATAGACAATTCATAATTGACAAATTATATTGAAATCAATTATGAACTTATAATAGTTAGATTTGTTGTTTGCATAATTTTACCTTCTACGGCAATAAATCAGTCTTATTTTTATTTTGATAAGGTAAAAAGGATATTTTCGAGTACTGTTCACAAAAATACCTTCCACGTAGTTGAGTTGAAAAAAAGCATAGCGATTAATTAACATTGACAAAACTAGCTAAGCAGACTGTATAGGTGACTAGAAAAATTAGGCAGCTACCGACAATAGAGCTGAGAAAATCACTTTATGGTATTAGCCAAACCCATTCCAAATTTCCCTTTTCATCTCATCTCATCTCATGTAGTGTCTGTCATCCATTTTCTTTTCCCTCTTCTGATTCCTGGTGGATTCTCTCTCTTTCTTTCTTTTTTAGCTTACTGTGTCACTGGATCTGTTTTGCTTCTTCTTTTTGCCAGTTTTTAGGTAAGAGAATTTGATACAATGTTTTCTTGAATAAAAATTGTTGCTTTTGAGAAGATTAATTATGGGTAAATAATGTTTGAATTGACATCCTTGTAGTAGTATATTTTTGTGGGTTCAAGTTCAACTACGCTGGGATCTTGTTTTGGAATATTGTCTTAAATAGACGTTTCTAATTTTAACTTGTTGGTAGTTTCTTGGGAGATTTAATTAAGGGTCACAAAAAAGTCTTAGAATTCAATTTTCTTTTGATTTTATTTTTCATATTTTAGGTTGCTATCTTATATCATTGCTTTTTATTGGTATTAGTATCAAGGAAGTTAGATGGTCATCATTATAGTGAAAGTTAGAGACTCTGTGAGTTTTCACTTCATGGAAAAATCCTTTCTTTTTGATAAGCAATGCTCATTGTGAAAATAAACTCATAGAGGACAGCCCTGTAGGCTATGTGCAGTTTTTGCACTTTTGGGAGAGGTTATTTCCACGGCTTGAAATTGTGACCACCCTTGATGACAGAGAAAGCTTAAAACTGAACTTATTACCACTGTGCCTTCACTAACAAACTCATATCTAGAAAGCTCCTTCACTTATATGCAGGAATGAGTTTCTTTGGCAGTTACTCCTTCTGTTTCTTGTTGACTTAACTTGAAGTTTAAGAAAGTAAATAAGACTAATGAATCTTGTGGTCTTAAACATGTCATGTGGAAAGTTAGAATTAACGAGCTGCCAAAAAAGCAAAGAGACGTTCTTTTCAACACGGACTAAAAAAGAAAGTAAGACAATCAAATTGAAACGGAGGAAGTGTTTCTTACTTAAATTTATGCAGAAAATATTTTCATTTCCTTCAGACTTGGTTCTTGATCAGTCTGTGATGTGAAAGTTCAGAAGTAAGATAGTTGAACTGGAGGGTAGTAAGTTATTTACACTATTTGATGTTTACTCCTACGAAGGTAATACAGTGTGGAAATTGGTCCATGTTAGCTTCTTCAATACCCCTAGCTGTAATGTCTATAACTTGTGATAAAGAAAAACTTTTAGGCCTTAGGAGAGGAGCGTTACATACTACTATTATTATTTATAGATTTTCATTTCTCTTTTCTCCGGAAGGCCATTTAAGTTATTGTTCATGTGTTCTTGTAAATGTACTAAAAAATAATGGTTATCTCTCTCTGCTCTATGCCTGGTTAACATTTTCTGCTCTCCTTGTTCTCTGTTTCTTTCTTGTCATTTCATTCCATGATTTCACTAGGTTAAGTAAAGTCCGGCCTCTGGTTATGATTTGCTGGCAGGTTTTTGATTCTTGGTTTGTGGATATGGATTATACGACAGGTGAATCATTGGATGCATTGCATTCAGCAGATATGAATTCTGATTCTGGTGATTTTGAATGCAATATCTGCTTTGAATTAGCTCAAGATTCTATTGTAACTCTTTGTGGACACCTTTATTGTTGGCCATGTCTTTACGAATGGTTACAAGTTCATTCACATTCCCACGAGTGTCCAATATGTAAGGCTCTCATAGAAGAGCACAAGTTAGTTCCAATTTATGGACGAGGCAAAGCAAGTTCTGACCCAAGAACTCGGTTAAGACCAGGAATCAATATTCCTAAACGTCCAGTAGGGCAGAGACCTCAAACCGCTCCAGCTGTAGATATGGACTACCTCCGACATGATGAATTTGATTCCATAGGGGGGCTCATGTCCATGCCCATGCCGAGTGCAAGGTTTGAAAACTCAACATTATCTGCTCTTGTTGGAGCTATTTCAGCTTTGTTTAGTCTTAATAATGTACAGGGATTTCATGATGCTACTGTTTATGGGGCGACTAGCGGAGTTCCATACCTCTTTTCTGGTTCATTTCACGGAGGTTATGCTCATGGTTTCCATCACTCTAACCACCTAGATTGGACAAAGTTCTTTATGAAGGTGCTTTTCTTGATCGTCGGTTTCCTCTTAATTGTTTCCCTAATTTCATAAATATATAAGTGTATATCCTATAGTGTGCTAAACCTGCATATGTGTAGTAAACCAGTGCAACTTTCTTGCACGTCGTTAGGATTTAGGATTATGTATTTACTGGTTTTAATTAGAGCTAGTCTCTACACCATGTTTTCCCTCTCCAATAAAAAGATGGTGGTAGCTTCTTTGTATAAACCCATAGGGGCCTTTTGGTAGCTGGTTAAAGTTATGCACGTATTAGTAATGTATGGATTAGTTACGAGTGAATCTATGTATTATTTTACGCATGTATTAGCTATTCCACCTTCTATCCAAATAATACATAGATTTTCTCATAACTATACATGTATTAGTTATACGGATATTAATACATGGACAACTTATTTCTTATCCAGCTACCAATCGACTCCATACAATTGTGTATGAAGTTTTTGGTGGGTAATATGTTTGGGCTTGGATTTCAATCAAAGTACAGTTTCAAGTTGGACTAACGGCAGCCCAGGTGAAAGTTCAAAATGAGTTCTTGTTTGGCCCAAAAGGGTTATAGGTCCATCCTTTGGATTATTTGCATCGCATGGCCTTTCTTGACGTCACTCTTTAAATTCTGTCCCTCATTATTCAAATTTAGCGCTCTGGACTAAGGGCATCTCCAACCCGATCCTTTATTTTACTCTCTAAATATAGAGTTCTCTATTTTTCCAAACAACCAACTCCAATTCATTCTCTATTTTACTCTCTAAAAAAGAATTTTTTTCTCTCTCCTCAATATTATATTATTATTTTTATTTCATTTTTATTTTCTTATTTCATAATATAAATCCTTTATTTCTTTTTTCCCAAATAATTACTTTATATAATTTTTTAATATGATATGAAATTATAATTTATTCTAAATTTTTAAATAATATAAATTGCAAGAAAATATAATATAATACATAAATTAAGGGACAAATTCAAATAAAAGTGATGTACAATTACATAAACACTCAATTTTCAAAATTATTACGTTGCTCCCATAAATGCTCTATTAATGCTTTACGGAGTTCAAAATGAGCATTTTTGTCCTTAATTTTTTTATGTCTAGCTAAAAATTGTTCAAATCGGAGATTTTCATCTACCACCATTTCTATAGTTGGAGTTGGAGCCTCTACGGCATCTTGAATTGGTGCATTGAGATCACGTTCATCCTCAATTATCATGTTGTGCAGTATAATACATGTAGTCATTATATCATGTAGCACTTTCTTTCTCCAAAAGTGTGACGGTCCTGCAATAATTGCAAAACGTGATTGCAAAAAGTTCGAGGACAAGGCTCTATTTTGCAATCATCGGAATCCAAGACGAAACTAAAATTTTAATGAAAAATTTAGAAATCATTAGTGATCCAAATGTTTGTGATTATTTGCAACGAGAACAACAACGAATACTTGAAAAAAGAAATCGACAATCACAACCACAATCGCAACAATTCTTGGAGTCATATCCTAATTTTTTTTCGAATAGTGCTAAATCTGGAAACGACCTATCGGATTTCTAAATTATTGTTGTGATCAATTAATTATTATGTCATGTATTGTATTTTATCTTGTATTTAAATTATTATGTTATGTATTATATTGTATTGTTATCTTGTATTTAAATTATTATGTTATGTATTGCATTGTTATCCTGTATTTAAATTATCATATCATGTATTGTATTTTTAAATTAAATTTTTTCATCTTGCCATTTTAATTTTGCATATTCTTTATAACGAAAATGAATAATTATTCATGAAAATTAGAAAAAAAAAATTAAAATACTATTAATTTGAAATTAAAATAGTATATGTTAAAGCGATAGACGGAACTGCCATGAAACGACTTATTAGTATAATATTTTTAAAAAATATTATATTACATTTAAGAAAGAATTATAAATATTAGATATTTAATTAATGGAATTATATGTAAAATAATATGTTAATTAGAAAGTAATAGAAATAATAATAAAATAATGAAAAAGTGAAATAGAGTGTGAATAGTAGTTCTCCAAATTTGGAGAACTACTATTAACTCTCTAAATTTGAAGAATAGAGGGTGATTTGGAGGTGGGTTGAAGTGCCCATTCTCTATTTTACTCTCCAAATATAGAGAATGGAGAGTAAAATAGAGGTGGATTGGAGATGGTCTAAGAAGGGACAATTTAAATTGTGGCCTCACGAAAGGCCATTTGTGCAAATGCTTCTGGTAAATCATACGTTGGGCTTCTGGTTTTGATTAGTTGTGTATGTTTGCTACTTCTCTCTTATATAATCGACTTTCTTTCTTAAAATGATTGTATTATTCATGATTTCTTGGTAACTTCTAATTTGATCGGGAAATTACAGAAAATGAATATTTTTCAATAATTACATTATTAATATATCGGTATCCTACAAGCTAAGTAAAGCAATATTTGAAAAATTGTTGGAGTGCATTGCATATATTCATCCTTGTACGTAAAGGTAAAGAAAGTCCTTATTTTTTCTGTTTTAATTTGTGGTTCACTTTCTAATTTGTTGGAATCAAACCATTTTCAACCCTTTGCATAAATGGTAAGTTAAAGTATTAGCATTAAAGTAAGCAACATACGTTTAAACAAGACGCGTGTCTTTTTTTTCTTTTCTGAAGTGTGAGATGATACAAATGCAAATAATCAAAATGAAGTTACCTTGTTGGGAAGTGATTGAAAATGGTTTCATTACGCAAGAAATGAGACTTTTGTTGAAAGGAGTGAGTGTTGAAATTGGTTAGTGTGTAGTCCAATGGAAGTCTTACAAATAGCACATGTCCTGTGTATTATAATGCAAGTTGTAGGCTTATCCTAGCACGCCATCTCTGTCTCGGCGAATCTAAAGTTTATAAGATTTATATTGACAACAAATTTATATTACGTACTATGATAATAACTATTTGGATTTACGTGAATCGTACCCTACCTTGTACACTTCCTTTTCTTTATAAGAAAATGGTGTTAATTTTATGAGAATGAAAAAGTAAAGTTCTGCTATATATATATTGGTAAAACAATATATAAACGATTTCTTTCCATGTAATTTTAGGTCGGACTTGCCATGTATGTGCCTAATAATTAACTAACCTATGATAAAAATACAACGGAAGCAAATGATCCGTACGAGCAATATATACTAATTTTGAGCTTTCATCAGTCTAATTAGAGACTTGTCGTATATATGTTGACATTGGCAATTCAAATTGGTTTAAGCGATGGTATTATTCTTTTATGAGAATTATTATAAATAATTAAACATATCCAATTAAAGATAAAATAGCTAAGTTAGGATATCCCACAAGTAAAGCAATACTTGGGAATTGTTAGAGTGCATTGCATATATTCCTTGTGCGTAAAGGTAAAGAACAAATAAAATCCTTATTCTAGCTGTTCTCACGGCAAGGTTGGAATCTTGCTTTTGCATAAATGGCAATTTAACAATATTAGTACCTAATTTCAAGGAACTAATTATTTATGAAGCATACGTATTGTTATTTGTCCTAAACTAACAAGTTTGAGATGAGGCAAATGTAAATTCCCCCTTATTGGGAAATGGGAAGTGATTGAAAATGTTTTGATTTCGTAAGAAATGAGACTTATGTTGAAGCATGAAAGGAATGTAGAATTGGTTAGGTTAAACACATGCATATGGTCATGGAGATAGTGTGTATTATAATGCAAGTTGTAGGCTTATGGAAGCACGTCATGCATGGTTGTCTTTGTCCATATGCCTAAGCTTGCGCCATTGTTGTATCATTTAGTACATTACATATTTTTGGGTATTTCTCAATTTTCAACATATTCAGTGTAATCCTGCAAATGGGGTGATCTGGGAAGGGTGTGTATGTAGCCTTAACCTTATCTTGTGAAGGTAGAGACGTTATTTCCGAGTTGGCTCAAGTAAAACATAACATAAATCAAGCATGTAAAACAAATACAGTATTGAAGAAATCATGTTGAAAATGATTAAGAAGAGATCAACAAGTAGCAGCAACAAATAATACGATAATTGAAGCAAAATAAACATGTAATATTAAAATTGAAGAATAAGATCGTAGGATAGTAGTAATAACAATAGAACTACCGATAAGGAAATTAGACAAATTTCGATTATCTACCAAAATGCATTTAGAAAAAAAAAATGCAAAATGGGTTCATCAAAATATGTATTCCGATTAATTTCTAGATTATGGAGAATGACAGTTTTATTTACGAGAATCAAAACATCTCAATTTAATTTAGTGTGAATTTATCATCAAATATTGATTCTTCAATTTCTTTAATATAATAAAATTTATATACTCAATAATTGTATAATAAGTTTTATTAACTCGCGATTTTAAGAATGTAAATTGCAAAAAATATACGTAAAACCCTTTTTATCTCAAATATAATACACTACTAACAATCAATAATACTAATATTATACAAAATGAGACAAATATTTTTGAGCTTGGACTCTTTAGAGAAATGAAGAGGAAAATTATGCATTAATTTACTCTGATCCTTATTTTGTTTGCTTAAAATGTTGGCCAAGTAGTACAATTTGTGTAAAAGTACGTTGGAGTAAGTACTAAGAAATATTAACGAAGTACTAAGTATAAATAGTTGTAGTAGTACACACCCTCTCTTGCACCCCGGGCCCTTATATATGTAGATAGATAAATTAACCAAAAATAGTAGTTACAACTCCATTAACTAAACCAAATTAATTAAATCCTCTTTTAAAAATTCCCACATCAATGGAAACTCTTAAATTTTCAATTAAGCCCCTCCATTCACATAATCATTTATGGATTCCTCAAAATTCAAGAATTCTTGGTGTTTATAACAAAAAAGGTACCTTTTCATTTACTCTTACTGCTAAGTTCAAAACTTCAAAAGGGAAGAAAATTAGCAAGAAAAAGAAAATTTCTTGGCCGGATTCTGGCGTAGCGCCGCTGCTTTTGGAGAGGAAGAAGGCGGAGGAAGCAACCACTAGCAATAATGGAATTAAGCTTAAAAGGGAATTATTGAGAGGACTATTGGATTTGCCTTTGGCAATTAGTGAGACGTTTGTTGTTGCTGCCTTAATCGCCT